TCTTTTTGTAAATCTTCATGAAGCTGTATGCTTAAAGTGCATGCATTTTATAGTATATATGTATACTTTAATATTAAGAAGAATGCAGGTGTTGAGGGGTAGAACTGCCCACTAAGGGGAGAGTGGGCTTTGTAAGGGAAATTGGACTTACAGGTATTGAAAGAGGTTTTCTTTTTAAAAAAGATTTTATCTATTTATTTGAGAGAGAGCATGAACAGGAGAGGGGCAGGGGGAGAGGGAAAAGCAAAGCAGACTCCCTGCTCAGCAGGGAGCCTGACACAGGGCTTGATCCCAGGCCCCCAAGACCCCCAGGATCACGACCCGAGCTGAAGGCAGATGCTTAACCGACTGAGCCACCCAGGTGCCCTGAAAGAGGTTAATTTCAATGAGCACATCCATCTTTTTTGGATAATGCACGGTCTCTCTCATCCTTGGCAATCAGACATGGATTATTAGGGATTTGTTGGAGGCACTGGGTAAGGATTGTGAAATATTACAGTGAAAGCAGGGGCACTGAAGTTCACCTGCAAGAATGCATCTCCTTGAGACAGGCCCAAGGCATTGCAACATTCCTCCAGGTGTGCACAGCCGGTTCTTCAGCCTTGCTGGGCATTCAGTCTGTTTCCAAGACTGCCTCACCCAGGGCTGGCCCTCCTGTACTTTTTCCTTTCCGGCCCATTCATTCAACATATTTTCATGTATCAGACACTCTGAAACACTTGGGATAATATTGAACAGTAATAGATGTAGCTCCTGCTCTCATTGAGTTCCACTCTAATAAGAAAAACAGTATTTATCAAGTAATCATATAGACTGCTGACGGTAGCTGTAATTAGTGCTACAAAGAGATTCTTGGTTCTAGGGGAGCCTGCAGGGCAGGGAGGATTCCTGGAGGAAGCAATACTTGAGCTGAACTCTTAAGGGTGAACTAAGTTCACTAGGGAACCAAATGGACAAAGGCGGAGGGAGTGAGCATGGGGAGTGAGAGGCACCAAAGTTCGAACAAGGGAAGTGAGGAGCACATGATAGAGAGGCTGGACAGACAGGTAAGGAAAGACCGTGTATGCCATGTGCACTGTGGTAAGAAGTTTTGTCACTGTATGTGTTTTGAAAAGATCACGAAGGCTGTTGTGTGGAGAAGTGATTGGAAAAGGATCACAGTGGGTGTGGGTATACAGGAGGGTATCACAGTAAACCAGGAGCAAAGGGATGATAGCTTGGACTGGAATGGTGCCCGTGAAGATTGGGAGAAAATAAAAATGATTGGACACACATTTTAGGAGGCACAGAAGCTTTAACAGTAGCTATAAAAGTGGCATGTCATTTTTATTTCTGAACAGAGCAAATATAATCAAGTGTTTACATCAGCTAGATACAGGAGTATGGATTATGTTAAGTTTGGTGGTTGTTCTTTCACTAGGATATTTCTTCTTAGGGAAATGGTGTGTGGTTATGTTGCAACTGAATTGTGCCTAGGATATTCTGAAGCTGTTAAGTATAAATACTCAAGGAGAGGACTGAAAATTGCCAAAACGTTGCAAAAAAGAGGGCGGGGTGGAGGGAAACATGGCTATGGAAACACGGACACCCAAAAGGCTTTGCAAGGAAGGCAAAAAGAAAAACCAGTGTATACAGGGCAGGCAGGAGGCTGCCATCTTGGTGGAAAAAGTTAAAACATTCCTCAGATACAGTTTCCCTGGGTCTGTAGAGATCTAGGGAAAATAAACCTTCAAGTCATTTGTGTGAAGACTGCAGACTACTTGGCCAAGTGAGGGACTGTGCTGGAGGGTTAATATTTTGAAGGAAAGATGTATATCCTTACACTTAGGTGAGTGCTTATGAGGACAAGACAGGATAAACTTCAGAGTAGGAGTACTGCCATGTGCCTCATTCACAGGCTGAAAGGGAGATAGTAGGGACCAGTGTATCTATCCAGGCAGTTGCTGGGTCCCACACCAGGGGAATGAATCAGGATTGTATGCCCAGGAGAGGGAATGAAAACCTGACAGCAAACACTGAAGCCGTCTCCGTAGGTGGTCAGATAACAGTGAGCAAGTTAGGATGCTGCTTTCCCCCCAACCCCCACCCCCGTAGATTCTAATAAAGGCTGCTCCTCCTACTGCCCAAGAGAGCAGACCACTGCAGCATTTCTAGCAGGTAACTTTCTGGCAACTAAACCCCAGCAGCTTCTGTCACTTTGTGAATGACCTGCTACAGAACAGCTTTTGCGGAGACCATATAAAGTTCTGGGAAAAGGGCAGGTTTGGCTGGCTGAGGAAACTAACAAAATGGAGTATCGGCGTTCTGAGTAGGGAGAGGAACACTCAGTGAGGTGGGCAGGCAGCTGGCTCTAGCTATCTAGCAGACCTCTGGCTCCACTACAAGCCCTCTGGGTGGGTAATTTCCCCCAAGTAGGGTCAGGAGAGGCTTTAAGGATCTCATTCATAATTGTTTAGGGCAGGGACAAAAAAGGCAAAAAATGTAAGACTTTATGGTCCATAGGAAGATTTCTTGGATGGGAACTACTAAAGCTTTTTACCAAGCAGTAAATGGGTGGGAGTTTCTGAGTCACTGAACTTGACAGATTCTCAGGTTTGAACTTTTTTGGTCACTTATGTCCCACATTCATACCAGAAACCCATTATCGAGGTTTGTATGAATCTGCAAAGGTGACTCAACCTGTGTCACTGAACCCCTTTCACATTAATAACTCCTTTTGGGGAAGACCAAATCCTTTTTAGGACTTTTCTTGCAATGACATTGCCAGGTGCTTCTAATGGACATGCAGGCATCACGGGTACAGGGTCGGAAGTTGTATGATCAGGGTATTATTATCTAGACAAATAATGATTTTTACAAGCTATTTGGAAGTTTGAGATAGAAGAAATAATTTATAATAGTACCCCTGGGTTCCCCAGGAAGAGCTAAGGAAAATGAATGGGAGACTATTCTCTGTATTCTTGCTACATTTCTAAAGCCCAACCACGTTGCATATAACCCAGTAGTTTCTGCTCTTAGCCAGGTGTTTTTCAACATGTGTTAGCAACTGTTAGGTCTATGAACCACTCTAGTATTCAGTGTACAGAATCAAGAGAAAAATGGTTCTTTTTCCTCTTGTTAAATTTGAGAGAGAAGGTGCTGGGACCCTAGTCTGTTATCGTGCTTTGGAAATAGTTGTGTCATTTTTTGATTCAGGATGTAAGCTAAAAGATACCATTTCCTCTCCTTAGGTCCAAAATCCAATGGATAAGCCAGATCACAGGCTGAAATGTTGGCTCTACCATTTAATACCTATGGGGCTTTCAACAGGGCACTCTTTGAAACTTAGGAATTACTTCCATACATATGTAATAGGATTGTGTGAAAATCATCTAAGATTTTATCTTAAATGCTTGCCCAGCATCATTCTTGGATGCACAAGGCTTGTAGATGTCCTACCAGTCAAGTTTTCCATGTTGGTCTAGGGATGTTCTAAGTCTTTAGAGGTCTAGGGCCTAGAAATATTTATTTTCAATGACCTCAGGACATGAAACACCTCGGAAAGTCACATTTGGTTCACTTAAGTTACAGCTAACGTATCAGTATCTGTACTTTTATTTAAAACTGTTCATTTTGTAGCACTACACTATCCAGTAAGAGAGCCACACTATTCAGATTAAAAATAAAATTGAAAATCCAACTACTCAGTCACATTAGCCACATTTCAAGGGCTTAGCAACCATAGGGCTAGCACATTAGTCAATGTGTTTATGAAACACTGCCATCACAGAAGTTCTATTGGACAGTGCAATAGTTTAGGAGTGGTGAGTGGGCAAGATTGGGCTTACTTTAACATGTTTTCTTGTAACCTCAGGGAACAAAGACTTTGTCTCTCCCTCAACCCTAGCTTATCTCACCTTTTAACCCTATCCAGACACCTCCCCTTCAGTGCTTTCTATACTTTGGGCCATAGATTTCAAGGCAGGTACACGCTCACCCTCTCACCAGATGCTGTCATTTTAAATGAAGTGTCACCATCATGCTTTCTTACTTTAAGCACTTGTCTTAACCCACTTAACATATGACATGAACATTCTTTTACCAACTTCCTTATTAGCCAGTCACCCAGACACCCTCTCTAAAAGCCCTAATTCCTCCCTTCTACCTTATTTACCTTGGAAAGGACACTTTGCTTCTTGGTGCACGGGTTCCCCATGTTGCTAGCAAACTGAAAATTACTGTCAAGTCCCAACTGCACAGATTTAATTGGTCTGGAGTACACACCTGGGTGCCAGGATTTTAAAAGCTCCCTTAGTAATTCTAATGCACAACCAAAGTTGAGATCCATTCGACAACAAATTTAACATACTATAAAAATATTTTTATTCACTTTGGGTTTATGAAAGGCCTGTAAGAGTCATTTTGCACAAGCAAATTTTTGTCAAATCTTCACAGAACATTTTTATTTCCTTCAACTTCTTTGTGTGACTCCTAAAAATCTTGGGCTTCTACTCCTAATATTTAGTTAGCTGCTTGTCTTTTTGGCATTCACCCCATTACACTATCCCTTCTATTGTAGTTCTGACTTAAGGGAGAAGCCCACCCCAGCTCAAACAGGGCTTTAACTCCCAACTCTCTACACAGGTCCTGCTTTTCAAAATTGGGATAATTAAGTTTTTTAATTAATTTGTTACTAATGCAACCACATATTCTTTTGAGGCCTTCCTGATTAGGATTAATTTGATTAAATTTCAAACATGGAATTTTCCAACACCCTAATTTATTCTCCTCTCTAAACATTTGGAATTCTGTCATCCCAGTCAGGTATACATCTAAATCTAGCCTTTTCTGTACAGTGTAGGTGGCCCAATTCTTACTTTATCCCAAGGTCTTTCCAAAACTAAAAAATTCTCCAAGAGAGTGCCCCTTATTCGTCAAATAAACACCACAGTATAAATGATACCTGTTCTCTATGAGATATAGCATTGATAAAGCGAGGTTCTTTACGGTTACTTACTTACCAGCCCATTCTATACATATGTAGCTCATGTACTGGTCACTCTCATTTTTGTCATATGTTTACGATTTTTAATTGGCTTCAAGGTATTTCTTTTTCTTCCATCTAAAACTCAACTGAATGCATTTCCTTGGCCAATGTGATCTGATCTAGAGTCCAGAAACTCAAACCCCATTTGACAGTGGTACAGGTGAATTTCCCTCACTTTAGAAGGTCAACTTCTATGGCTAAATTCTTCTCCCAGGCCATAGGCAATGATGATGATTTCTGATTCTCCTAAAAATAAACACATAACAATTTCCTATTTCCCAACTACCTCCACAACACATCCCACCCTATCATCCAGGTTACCTAAAACCACCAGTGTTTGTGAAGTATAGTCTCTCAGCAGTTCCATTTCTTTACTTTGCATATCATACCTGCAGGCTTTGCTTCCCCTAGCTTATTCTTTTGAATCAACATACTACTGCTAAGTTATTCACTAGATTCCTTTATTGATATTTTATAGTTACTATATGGATAGAATGATGCTTATTTTTATTTATCCCTTCCTTCCATTACATTCTCAATACTCATTTGACTTCGTTTTATTCCTTTCCAATTTACCGTAATTCTATTTTCTTGTTTGCATTTTCCCATTCTCTTACACCTAGTTCAGTCTGTTAAGAGAGACTTTAAAACATGTATGTACTGCCTAGCACTACCAATCCTTGCAGGTTTCAGATGTTGGGGTGACAGGTGAACTGAAATCTATTGGGAACCCTCTTTTCAAGCATTCCAGATGTCATCCATTCCAATCCAACAGCTTTAAGTTAGCTCCTTTCACTGGTGAAATAGCAAATTAGAAAAGTACCTTTGCCAGTGAACTCCATAGAAGTCTCCCCATTAGAAATTATGTAGCATCAGAAATGTTCCAAAGAGATTTCATTTAAGTCATCCACCTTCTTCATCCAATCTTGGCTGGACACTGCAATCTTAAAGGCTTCCAGGCTATTTTCTTACATTTCCTGGGCATATTGGGTAAACCATTATTCTGAATTTTATAATACCCAACAAATGCATCACCATATTTTACTGTTTTAAATCTTACTTCTAAATAGCTTAAAGCCTTGGTCTTTGAGCTAGTCAAAGTTACCCAGAATTCCCTCTAAACAATTAGCTGACTCTAAAACTGTCAAGCTTTTCAACCCCACCTGCACTGCCAACCCACTGCTAACCCAAAGAGCCCGCGGCTTGCTCTGCCTCTATTTCTACTGAACCCATTCCAATCTCTTCCTGGGGCCCAGAGTTAAATCATGTTAACAGTGACTATAAGCCTTCATTAGATCAATGGTCTTTAAGACAATGGCCTCTTTTTTAAAAAGCTTTTAGTATCTGCATTTGATCAGCTTGCAAGATACAGAACTATACGCTATTTCAGTCGTTTCCTTTTCTGTAAGTTTTGGCCTAGGAGCTTGAATTCCAAAGTATTAGAAGAGTATAACCCATGATTATAGAAATCTACAGTACTGTTCTCTTAGTTCCGTGGGGAAATTTAACTCCTAATAGCCTGAGACCTAGAGTGTGAAATTACTCTTCCTCATCAATCCCCATCATGACACAAATGTCTTGGCATTTTATCAATAACCGTCTGTGTGTGTATACATTTTCCAAGAGCATATGACCATTCTCTAAGCTTTCTACAGTTTCTTTCAATACTTGGTTTCATATGAAATTAAAAAAGTAGACACTTTCATGCCTGGTCTAACTGGTTCAGCATCTTAGAGGTACTGATGGCTAACAACCTTAAATGGTTTTTATTAACATCTTAGAACCTTTATTTACCCTTTCTTCTAAGCATCCAGCTTATTTTCTTTTTGGGATTATGTGCTGAAAGTGAGTTTGTGTAACATGAAATCATGTAAGATCAGAAGAAAGGGTGGGTAGAAATATTTCTGACCAAATTAACCCACAAAAGCTACTTTCATACTATGGATGTCGGGTCCAAAGGGGTAGTTCATAGTTCACCCTCTTCCTTCTATTCTGCTTTGTCATCTGTTATATAAAATGATTTTTGAGATCCTAATAGGACAGGACTTCTGCTCACAGGTTTGATATAAATGTCTTTGTTGCATGCTATGAAACACAGCAACTTTCTGGGGAATCCAAGGTTTGTGTGAATGGTAATAGTCCAAACTAACGATGTTCTTGTCCTGCTCTGCTGGAACCAAGTATAAAACATAAATAAACCAGACCTTTCAGGATTAGGGAAGCGTAACAAATCTAGAAGCTGTTTAATAAATCCATCCTTGGAAGTCTAGGTGCTAATTAGTATCATGCCTAAAAAAAAAACCAAACCTGAAATTAATCACACAGGGGGAGGGGACAAAAATTATTTATATGGATTAAACTAATTGAAAGTAAATGTTCTCAGTCACCTGGGAAGGTATGAACTACAGAAGAGCAGGGAAGAAAGAGCTTTCCTATTTTTGGCAACTTGGAGGCACAGACTCAGAATCCAGAAAGTAACTGGGACTCTAAATGGCAATTAAAAGGATAAAGTGGAAGAAAACAGAGGTTTCATTCTCCAGTTGTTCCAATTTTCCTAAAATCGTGGTATGTTTGAACCTCTTCCATTTAAGGACAAAACGATTTAGCACACACAAAAAAACCTCAAAAGGGGTGCCAACTGGACCACAAATCATCAATGAAAAAGCTTAATATAATTCCCAAACCTTTTCATTAGGATAAAAAAGCTATTCTGCCAAGAATCTCCACTCCACATCAAAGTTACTGTCTCCTTAATGCAATACCCACCCCAATGACACATCATTTGAGTAGTGTATGTTGGTATGAGTGATGACTATGACTCAAAGAAAAATATATCTAGTACATTCTAGGGTTTTTGTGGAGGCCGCTGCAAAACAAAGAATTTAAAGTAAACAATTATAAAATACAAAAATAAAAAACCAGGTTTTTTTTCTCCAAATTCCTGGTTTAATAAGGACTTGTTTATTTTGAGAAAAAAGGGTCCCAAACATCAGGCTGTTCACAAAAATAACCCACAGTATCAACTTTAGAAAACAAATCTTAAGACTATTACACTATTTTTCTAGAGGATGCATTTGACATGCCAACTCTCATTCACAAAAATACATGTTACATTTGTGTTGAACAGCCCCACATAGCACTCTTATGTGGGGTATAACACACATACCTCTAACTCAAAGCTGCTCTCAGGTGCTACTCAACTAATGCGATTGCCTCTGCAGTTAGGGAAGCAACTACTGGAGCTCATGTATGAATGAATGGAAAGAACTGTACTCCCTGCATAACAAGAGATTATTTTGGAGACAGTTGATAAAAACCACACATCCTTTTTATTGTTAAGTCATAAAGAGGTATCAAAATTAAAAGCAAAAATTACAGGGTAAGACTTAACATAACTACTAGGAGCGTCAAAGGAAGTGAAAATGGGACTAGGCGCAGGGCAGTATGAATTAATGAACATGGGAAGGACAAGGAAGGGGGAGAACAGTGAGCATGTGCTGAAGATACTAGGGGAGAGGATCTGGTGAAAATTTTGATCTTAGACAAGCGCCTAGGTAAAGAAATAATGGGACAACATTTCTAAACCCCACTATGTGCTTAAGAGTCATCCTCGCCATTGGCGCTGTCTCTGTCATCCTCTCCTTCCTCAGCCTCTTTTTCATCATCCTTGATCAACTCCAGCTGTGAGAAACAGACACAAACAGGATGGAGTTAGAGGCACTCCATGTGTCCCTGCTCCCCCCTCCACCACCTCTTTCTTTCCTTTCCCGTGGTTTTCACCTGGTCATCCCCCCGATCTTCATTATCATCATCATCCAGTAGGTCCCCCTCCTCAGCAGAGTCATCTGCACCCCCCTCAGACTCCATCTTCACATTAGTCTCATCTTTCTTCAGGGAGCTGCTGCTCTGCTCCTCTTCTGACTTATCATTCTTCATCTCTACTGGGGATGAGAAGGACAAGTCTGTCTAGGGGCAAGTAATGTCCACAGGATGTAGACAATCCCCACTAAAGATCAGAGAACTGCAGCACAAATCTAAATCCTCCCGCACAAATGCCCTTCCCAATTCAAATTCCCCAAGTTTCATATTCAATTGCTTTATATCCCACTATTCCAACATATACCTTAACTACCTTTGGTAACTAACCCAATTTTACACCCAACAAGCGGCAAGACCATTTACCTCCTTGTTTGCTCTGTTCTTTCTCAATTTTTTCCAGGCTTTCCAGTAGAGAATCCACTTTTTGTTTTATCTGGGTCAACTCCTTCTTAATGGTCTGAAGGTCATCGCCTTTTACTTTAATACAAACAAAACTCTAGATTAGAATCAACTCTACCAGAAGCTACCAGATGCTGAAACACATTTCCAACTAAACCATATGGCAATAGCCAGCAGGAGATCCCGGGGGGAGAAATGGAGCCAGGATCATGTACTGTCCCAGTCATGGGGATCCTCATTTTTTTAGTTGGTAGCTAAAAACTAAATCTAATGTGTCTACTCCCTTAGCAACAGTATTCGTACTTTCGTAGGCCCACTGAAGACCTCAATTATATTTGAAAGCACTTTTTGTACTGTTTGACTGACTTACACATTTTGTAAATTCACAAGTACTTAGCTCCCTAAAGTCTAAAACTTTAATTGGCCCCTTAATCACTATCTTCTCTTCCATTGTTTTGTTTATACAAAGCCATTTGTACAAACCCTGAACATTATTAACTACATTAATTTCCCTATTTCTTTTAATCTTTTTTTTTTTTAAAGGATTTATTTATCTATTTTGACAGAGAGAGAGACAGCGAGAGGGAACACAAGCAGGGGGAGTGGGAGAGGGAGAAGCAGGCCTCCCGCTGAGCAGAGAGCCCAACGCAGGGCTGGATCCCAAGGACCCTGGGATCATGACCTGAGCTGAAGACTTAATGACTGAGCCACTCAGGCACCCCAATTTCCCTATTTCAACACACAAGAAATAGCAGAATCACAAAGCTGCAATAATACATACACTTTCCAGACTTGGAAGAAGATCCTCGCTGTCCACTCTTAGAATTGAAGCCACTTTTGCCCCTTCGTGAGGTGTTTCCTGATACACGCTGGCGTTTTGAAGGAACTACAGCCCGAGCAATAGGAGGAGGAGGAGGAACACGTGCTGGGTAACTATACATCCTATTGGATAAAAGGAAAACAGAATTCCTTCACAACTAAGTCAGCAAGATCGATCAGTGACCTTGTAAATGTTCATTGTCCCTCAACTTGTATCTTTTTGCTAATTTCATTCGAAAGTCCAGTAAAAACCTACCTTCTTTGCCGTTTTGAATACAGCAGCTACTCAAAATACTACATACACACACGCATATCCAATGATAGTTGGTTGGCCTTAAGGGATGGACATAAAAGATTCCTCTGTACTCTGGCAGTATTAATAAAACATTACTTTGTACAATGAACAGCCTACATATGTATTTGTATATATATATATACACAAAATATACATATATATACACAAAATATACATATTTTGTGATTTTACTCTCTATATGCTACAATAATTCATAAATTAATAAAACACAGAAACAATCCCAAATAAAATACAAAAAGGGGTTGCAATTAACGGAGTCTGCAAACAGTGGTGTTTATTGTGAGTTAAATCCCATTAGTTAGCGATACTAAATTGAACCCTATAGAACTGATAGTATTAACCAGTTTTGGCCTACAAAAACAAAGGGCCATTCATATGTGTTAACTTTGTATAAAAAGCCATGATCCATTCTAACAACATTTAAGCAGAGGATGCACTCATAGTTCCAATTACAACAGGATGGAGAATACGGTCTGTTTTGTTCGCTGTTCACTAGTGCCTAAATCCACTGTGCAGCATACATTCAGCTCTCAAAAAAAAACCAAACACAAAACCACTGGTTGCTTAACTGCTGCTTCCAGTGGAGAAGTATCCCAGTAACTGCTAACGATACACCTCGAAGTGATGGCTTGGTAATGACTTTCATTTTTGTAAAGAGAAAATTCAAAGTACAACAAAAAAAACTTACATGGATAATAGTTCTAGAAAACCTCTACATTCCATGTTTTTATTTTTACAATAGACTGGTAACATAAGAAGGTAAGACCTACCATGGAAAAAAATCTTTTTAATTCTGTTCTGCACCTTTTTAGTAGCTAACTTTCCTCAACCCAATGTTTTTTCCATCCTACTTTAATATACTAGTAGCTCATTTTTTTCTAGGAGTAGCTACGACAGGAACATTTTCCTAAATTAAGAAAGAGCACATGGTACACTGCTGAACAAGTGAGGGTACAAGTTAGTAATTTTCAGTCAAGCAGTTTTTCGTCAAGACCACCCAATACTTTTCCCCTTGAAGCACAGGAGTTATTAATTTGTCAAGTACTAAAGAACCAACGATGTGGTTTAAGTTACTAAAGCACTCATAATTCTTGTTCTAAGTTCTATTAAGGAACACTTTGTAAGTTTTGAGTCCCAGGAAATAAGAAAATGTAGGATTCAGAAAGTAAGAAAGTATTATTAATGCTTCTACAGGTTTTTTCTCAGCAAATTTTTTAAAAAAAGATTTATTTGCCAGAGAGAGAGAGAGAGAGGTAGCATGTGCAAACAGGGGAAGCAGCAGTCAGAGGGAGTAGCGGGCTCCCTGCTGAGCAAGGAGCCTGATGTGGGACTTGATCCCAGAACCCTGGGATCATGACCTGAGCCAAAGGCAGATGCTTAACCAACTAAGCCACCCAGGAGTCCTGCATCAAATTGTAAACGAGTTGTTAATTTGTCAATTTTAATTGGTTTATGGGAATTAGCACAAGCAAAAAATATAATAACATTTTATTATCACTACTTTCCATACATAAAGCTTTTCTTCTTTTGGCCCATTAATGTCCCACAGTATAATTCAAAACTATAAAATAAAATATAAAATAATTCAGAAACCACTCTCCTTTGTGCAAGATGATGATATTTTAAAAGCAATTCTGGAGGTAAACGAAGGTGAGTTATCTGTATCTTTGGGCATGAAACATCTCATGACCCAATACTGTTGGATCTAAACTACCTACCCACCTCTTTCCAACCAACCCACTCACTGGAAAGGGCACCAGTCTCTAAACCAATTATCTTGCCATTCCAGATTCCCTCTATTTGTAGGCACTGGAACTTCCTTTTGAACCATACAATTTCACCTGATGCAGGTAAATCATCACAATGAAAATGAGGCAAGAAATGCAGTTTTAAATCTGTGTAATGGTCCCACAAATACAAATAGGAAGTCAAATGCTCTAGTTTTCAGAAGAAAAAAAAGTTTCAGAAGACCAACTGGTAGTGCTAAAGGGCTTTTAGTGCCATGAAATTTAACTGCTGCTCAAGCAAAAAATGGACTCTTGAAAAACTCACACAAAGGTTCCTCTAAGGAAGTTTAAGCAGATCTTCCTTGTAAAATGTCAAACTGCACAATTGTGAAAACACGAAGAGAAAACTATGCCTACTCTGACAACACTCAAGGTCAAAGGGATAGGAAATACTACAGCTTCAAGAACTAGTTACAAATTAAGTAATCATTTTCCCCCACAAGAAAACCTTGCTTATCAAGATCAGTATCGGGGCGCCTGGGTGGCTCAGTTGGTTAAGCGACTGCCTTCGGCTCAGGTCATGATCCTGGAGTCCCAGGATTGAGTCCCGCATCCGGCTCCCTGCTCGGCAGGGAGTCTGCTTCTCCCTCTGACCCTCCCCCCTCTCATGCTGTCTCCCATTCTCTCTCTCAGATAAATAAATAAAATCTTAAAAAAAAAAAAAGATCAGTATCATATGCTGATTACCTAGTGATAAAGCCAAAGTCATTAAAAAGTCTTCATGAAAGTTTCATTGTTACCAAAGGAACAAGCACTAAATCCTAAGAGAATTACGACTGCACCCTAAATCAGAAATCTGGACATTTAAGTGTTGGTATAAAATCTAGCCCGAATAAAAAAGGTCATTAAAATACCATTTTAAAGAAATTAAAACACTTCTGGAAGCACATTAGCTAGGTAATTATCTGAACAGATAAAACAAACTGTCCCTAATCTCTAAGCAAAACATAAGCATTACAAGTCATTTATTAAAAATAGAAGTTTACAGAGGTGCCTGGCTAGCTCAGTCAGTAGAGAATGCAACTCCTGATCTTGGGGTTTTAAGTTCCAGCCCTATGTTGGGTGTAGAGATTACTTAAAAAAATAAGATAAAATAAAATAATGGCTCGGTTAAACATCTACTTCAGCTCAGGTCATGATCTCAGGGTCATGACATCAGCTCTAGGCTAAAGCAGGGAGTCTGCTTTTCTCTCCCCCTTTGCTCCTCCCCCGACACTTGTGTACTCTCTCTAAAATAAATCATAAAAAAAAATAAAAAGCTACATGCTGTAATTTATAGGTAAGAGCAATCTAGTAAGATTACTCCCTCCTCCCTGTACAACAATGGTTTATCAAATTCAGTTTAAATATGCAATCCCATTATAATTTCATTCAAGTGTCAGGAAGTATTTTCTTCTTCTTCATTATTTTTTATCTACAATGAAATTTCAAGATGTTGTTTCTCCCTGCTTACCCCTGATTTTCCTAGGACTGATTTTACAGGCTACCATGTTGTTTGGGCTTTAGAATGTGTGAGGATCTCTCAAACTGCTAAAATACTATGAACGTACCTACTCACAGTCAAGTTAAAAATCACTGATGCAGGAACAAGACCAAATCTAGAATGAGTGCTCATTTCTCAGAAACGAAACTCTATGCCACACATGGGGCTCGAATTCACCACCTAAGAGTCACATGCTCTACTAAGCCAGCCACCTAAAATGTGCTTTAATTTAGAGAAGTCCAGACAAAACTAAGTACAAATTCATGAGATTCAAAAAGAAGGATTTTAAGAAAGTGATAGGAACAAAATCCCAGGAAGTATCAGTAAAATGTAGTCTGTGGGATACATCTAGAGGAAACCATGGGAAACAATAGCAAAAATTATGTACAGAGTTTAAGAGTCAAAGAGCAGCATCCTATCTCCAGTATTTACTAGTTAAATAAACTCCCAGTTGATGAGATACTCACCTCAAACTCTAGCCACCATGACTCTAGACATAAACCAGTGCACCAACAATTAAAGAGTTGAAACTAAAGCCCCGAGTAAAGATTCTCTGCTACTGCAATTGTTTTAAGTTTTATTCTTGTCAGTGTGCTCACTCTCCTGTGACAATCTACAACTTCAACTACAGGTTTCCCACCATACCATCCAGGGTAAACCTTCAGCATGCACTCCTTATATACTATTCAAGAATCAAGGCTTTCAGTAATTAATATCTCTGAACATTACAAAATATTTCTGGATAGTTCTTTCCCATTCCTTATAAAAGCTTCTAAGAAACTGTATTTGAATGATTAGATAACTATTTTCCATGATCTTTTAAAACTACCAAAACTTTTTTCATAGAGATAGTACAACCCCTCAGACTTTTTAAAAAATCATGTCATTCATTTTTAATGTAGTAAAAGTAACACAATGAAATTACCTTAAATGCACAATTAAAGATTATGGTATAAAGTTCATTTTAACATGTAGACAAATGCTTAACTAAAAACCAAATTTTATTAAAAGATTTTTCTTTCTTTATTTGACAGAGCGAAAAGAGCACAAGCAGGGGGAGCAGCAGAGGGAGAGGAAGAAGCAGGCCCCCTTCCGAGCAGGGAGCCCGATGCGGGACTCAATACCAGGACCCTGGGATCATGACCTGAGCAGAAGGCAGACGCTCAACCATCTGAGCCACCCAGGCACCCAAAACTAAAAATTTTTAAGTTCACCCTAATGTAATTTTAATAGTATTTCTTTAAATCTCAAAGATTTAGGAGTAGGCTACTGATTCTGCTTTATTTATATAAGAATAAAGGGGGGAGCTTTAAAATGTCTATGTAATGTTTACTTCAGGTTTACATTAAAATGTAAATATGAAACTCATGAAAAAAAAAAAAAAAAACGGATTCCAAAAAACCTGTTTTCATGTTGCCGAAATGCTTGTTGTGCTTAAAAATAAATCAACTAGGGCGCTTGGGTGGCTCAGTTGGTTAAGCGACTGCCTTCGGCTCAGGTCATGATCCTGGAGTCCCTGGATCGAGTCCCGCATCGG